AGCATCTACAGGGCCTCACTGAATCCTGGGGTTGAAATCCTTGGAAGTCCCCACCACAGACAAGAATGCTCAGACTGTCCTCAAGGCTGAAAAAGTTCCAGAGATGGAGTCCACAGGACTCCAAGGCGCTGTTGACTCTCCACTGCTGAAGAACCCACCGAGTCAAGAAGGGTTAGGGGATCTGGGAGGAAAAAAAAGTGATTTCTTCTGCAGGTTCTGAGTTGTGTAAAGCAGCATATTATTTACACGCACATCAAGCAATACACTTCATGTGCAATTTTGTGGCCCCAACACTTGTCCATGCATGGCTTAGAAATATTCGTAAAAGTGTTAAATCACAATGAGACAAACGTATGGTTTGTTTCTTGAAGAAGATATATGAACCCAAAAGAAAACACAACTTTCATTTTGGACCCCAAAGCATTAGAGTCTCTCATGGCTCATACTGACAAGTTTAGAGGCATTTCATTGAGGGTCCAAAGGCTGCTAGAGAAATGAGTTCAGGCTGGCTTCTAGATTTTATGATTTTAAAATAGTTGTGGTTTACAGGGGACATTGCATATTTGCAACAAGATCAAGATATCTTAAGGTGTTATTGTAAGATACCTTATTTTTTATCTGGAGATTTTGGTTATGATTGTGTCTGCTGCATCCTCTCTTTTCTATCGCTTTTGTCTTTATCATAGGTTATGTAGCTGTTTATGGGCACCAACATCTTTAAGTATTCAACAACAGAAAACTAATTAAAATTTTATTTATTCGTTTATAATATAAAATACAAAAATATGAAAGAAAATAGGAGGAAAATAAGGGAGGAAAAAGGGAAGGGAAAAGTTCCGACTCCCTTAATAAACTTAAGGGAGACTAATTAATGAAATATGAGTTGCTTTCTGAAAGCTATGTAGGCAGGTTTATTGGTTTTGTCAATGTCTATGCAGTTATATTACTCTTTTTATAGGAATTCCAATGTAGCAGAAAAACCTGCTCACTTCTTCTGTACATACAAACTGTTCAGAGAGCCTCTGCCATCTGAAAGCAAAGTGGATTGAAGCTACTCAGATATATACCCAGACTACATTATTTTCCCAAAATCACAGTTAGCAATGAGTTTACTTTCATTTCCCCTATGGTTGAATCTGGATTTGAATCCATGTCACCTGGATGTGCTTTCAGAAACTAAATGACCTTTTTTCTTATACTCTAAACTCACCAACTTCAGAACTCTAAGTATTAAAAAGCCTTTAAGCAGGCGGGATGGAGTGACCAAAAATAAAAAATAAAACAGTCCTTGGGTAAGTTTAGAAGGCTACTACCCAATATGGAGAGAAAAGAAAAATATTATGTTGCACTAGAATCTGGAACACGCTGCAAACAGCAGTACCATACCAACAAGCTACTTCTGTATTACTAGAAGTAATACAGGGTTTTCCTTCTAAAGTGTGGTTAAAGGACTGAAACAATGGGCCGATTAGGGAGTTCCAGGTTCAAGTCCATCTTCAGCCCCATGAAAGTTCCGTGGTTACTTTGGACCAGTGACTCCTTCTCTTCTACCAACTTCATAGGCGTTCTCCAAATTCATGAATCTAGTTAAAATAAATCTAGTTAAATATAAATCTAGTTAAAATAAAGCTCACGGCCATATTTGAGAACTACATAGTTTGTAATTGTTACACAGCCATCCTTCAGGTGAGAGAGGGTGACATTTCATTATTATCTCACTGAGCTTCAAATGTGTTGCCGGAGAAACACAATGGAAGGGCACATGGAATTCTAGAAAATATTCGCTATATCCCTCACCCCTAGATGAATGCAGAAGGCAGGGCCTCCTGATCCCATTGCATTTCACAAGCGGTTGAGCGTAATACTCTGTCATGCTCTGCATGAAATCACATTCTCACTAGGTCAAGTGAGCCTGAATGACTTGGAACTTTGGTGCCTTAAGGGCCACCATATGTTTCCCCCCTCCAGATCCCCAGATCAGAGAAAGGCAAGTGCTTAATAAAAGTAGGCTCTAGTGGAGAACGCCTTTTTAGATATTTGGGGGGGGAAATAAAACGGCTGAAGGCCACTTGCTGAATATTTCTAGTTTGATCTATAGTTAATGGCTTTTCTGTCGGCCCTTTGCTGCTATTCTGACACTAACTTTTGGTAGATTACAGCTTTGTTTTCAAGTTGTTTATTTAGTGAGCTGTTCTGAGTCCACCTGGTGGAAAGAAGCAGAATTTAAGCTTCTGAAATTACATGTTTAAAAGCAAGTCCCTGGCTTTGAAGATCCTGAAGTTTGTACCTTACTTGCCTTCACAAAAGCCTGAATTCTCAATTGTTTTTTTTTTCATTATATAATTAACCAATGTCTTCTGTAAATCAACAGGATTACAAGACTGGTGGGATAATCCTGAACGCAGCTATTTGAAAGCAAGTCCCACTGAATTCAAGATTTACTGTCAGAGACAAATTTCACCTTTAAGAGCTCAGAAAAGCTCATGAGAATGAGAAATGCAATTATAAATAAAACAGAAGAGTGGTTTTTTTTTTTAAAAAAAAAAAACCACTAGCAAATTGCACCATTTACAACACAGCCAAGAATTAACACAGAAGGCATCATGCCCTAGACTAGCCTAAGTATTGTAACTTATACTTTTGCTTTCTGGGTGCAATTCTCTTAATTTTCAGCAAAATTTACATGAGAACTGGGTTCATAATTTCAATTTCCTACTGATTTCACCTCATTTCTTAAATTGCATGCATTTTTTTCTATCACTGGAAAAAATATCCCAACAATCTCCAACCTAATAATCAATATAAAGAATACCACAAAAAAATTTCAATGTAAAATTTTATTGAATATTAACTAGGCTGCTTATCGTTTTTATGTCCAACCCCCCCCCCCCCCTGAGTTCTGATTTGGCAAAATGATCAAGAGTGCTATATGAAAATTTTGACATAAATCTGCATTATTCTTATGTGAACGATCACATTCCAGATAGCCTATAATTTCTCTATTTCCTTTTGAGGGGGGTATGTATCCCCACGCTTTCTACCTATAATACATGCACGGAAGCATGGAGCCTTCCACGAGTTTACGGAATGCTGCGAAGCCATCTTGACACAATATTTGACTCTTTACGACGAGTCTATTGCCCAGCTGTGAGACCGTGGAGCAAAAGACAAGCTGAAGTTCTTTCGGTAGCCTTCGAGAGTCCGGGGTGGGTGGGGGGCCGCTTTGCTAAGCCTCCCCCTCAGCCCACTGCAATCCAGCCGCGGCAGGCACCGGCTCCGGCGGGCTCTCGCAAAGGCCTTTGGCGTGAAGAAGCGGCAGGTAAAAGCAGCCGGAGTTGGCGCTGCGTTCGGGGCTGGGCGGGGGGGGGGGGGGCCGGGGGGCGGGCCCCCCCCGCCCCCCCCCGCGGACCTCGATCGCCGCCTCCTTCCTCCCCAGAGCGGAGCCTCCCTCAGCCTTCCGGGCCGGCGGGTGGGAAGGCGGCCATCCTGGGCGCGCTTTCCGCAGGGCGCACCGTGAGGCCGGCGGGCGGGGGGCTTCCGCCACCCACCCCCTCAAGGCCGGCAGCCCGCGAAATCCGCCCCGGGCAGGCCGCATCCTCCGCCGCTGAGGGGGTGGAACCGACCCGGCGCTCCGCTCGCTCGGACAGCCCTTTTTCCTCGCTGCAGTTCGGCGGGGGGAAAAAGATGGCGCCGTGTCCTACTTCGGGCGGATGTGTGGCTGGCGAGGCGGAGGCCGGGTGCTTCCGAGGGGGCGAGCGCGCTCCTCCGCGGGCCCCTAACGGCCGCCTCTCCGCGCCCCGAAGCAGGGCTGGGGTGGGGCCCCCGAGCGCCGCCGCTTCTCCCCCCCCCCCCCCCCCGGCCGTCCCCCCCCGAGCCCCCCCCCGGCCTGCGGGAACGGCGGGTGGGCGCTGGGGGGGGGGGGGGGGGGGGGGGGGGGGGGGGGGGGGCTCCCCCCGGGGGGGGGGGGCCCCCCCGGGGGGGGGGGGGGGGGGGGGGGACGGGGGACAGATCTGCGCCGCGAGTCCCCGTCTTATGTAAAGCCCGCCGCCGCCTTGGCGGAGGAAAACATCTCCCACCTGGGTGGGGCTGCGCGCCAAGCGCTCCTCGGAACGGCGGAGCCCCCAAGTTGGGGAATCGCCGCCTGCGCGCCCGCCGCCCCCCCCCCCCCCCCCCCCCTTTCTCCCCCCTGGGCGGAAACCCCGCCCCCCCCCCCCCCCCCCCCGCCCCTCCATCGGGCAGGCGGGCCGGGCGAGTCCGCGGACAAAGTTTCGCCTTCCAGGCAGCCTCCAGCGGCAGCATCCCAAGTTCCGGCCGGGCCGAGGCCGCCGCCCCCTCCCTCCCGGGCCGAGCGGGACACGAGGGCCCGGTGCGTGTGGGGGGGGGGCGATCGGGCCTCCCCCCGCGGCCGCCCCGCTCGCGCTGCCCCAGCCCCGCACATCTGGGGCGGGGGAGGCAGAGAAAGGGCGCGTTCATGAGGACTACAAAGTTGCAAATATGGCTCCCCGGCCAAGCGCGCCTGATCCGCGGCGCGGGAGCGACCCATCCGGCGGGCGCCCTCAACTTGAGGCCGACCCCGGGCCCCTCGCCGGCGACCCCCGCCCGCCCGCCCGCCCGGGGCGCTCCGGGCAAACTCCGCCCGAGCGCAGGATCAACTCGGGCGGCGCGCTCCTCTCTTCTTCCGCCCGGGCGACCGACCCAACCGCCTCCCCCGGAGACCCTGCGGGCGGAGGGGGGGGGTCGGCCCCCCCCCCGCCATCTCGATCCCGCGCCCCCCCCCCCACCCGCCTCGGGCAGGGACCGCCGCGCGCGCTCGCTCGCCCCGTGGGCACCTCAAGGGCAGCGGCGCAGCACCCGCGACGGCAGCCGGCAGGACGGCGCCTCCCGCCCGCCTGGCGCTCCGCAGTCTGGCTCCCCGCGCGCCCCGCCTGGCCGGCCCGGTCGCTCCCCCCCCCCCCCCCCCCCCGCCCCCCCGAAGCCCCCCGCCGCCCGCTCTGGCTTACGTCGGAGGGCTTCCTGTTCCGCAGCTCTAAGTGGATCCTCCTCTTCATGTCCATGTCCCCGATTCCGCGGGAGGCTGCCTGGCTCCGCCGCCGCCGCCGCGCTCCGCTCCCTCTTTTGTGTTGACACCGGTGGCTCCAGCAGGAGCAGCAGCAGCAGCAGCAGCAGCAGCGGCCCCCCCTCCCGCCCCCCCGACCAGAGCCAGCGCGCGAGGCGACGAGGGACTTTGAGCGCTCAACCAGCTCCGCTCGGAATCCCCCAACGCGGCCAAGCAGCGCGCACACTAGCGTGATCGCCGCGGGGGCGGGCGCTCCGCGCGAAAGGCGCCCGCTTGACGGGCGGGCGGAGAGGCCAACCGGAGGGCGAGGGAGGCCGGGCCGGCGGCCGCCGTACCAATGGGAACGCGCGACGGGCCGGCGGGGGGAGACGGGCAGGTCCCTGACGAGGGAGCTGCGGCGCAGTCGGTGCGAGCCGCGGAAGGAGTCGCTGCCGCTCTGCTGTTGCTGCTGCTGCTGCGGGGTTGGCGGACGGGCGGACGGCTGAGGCGAGCCGCAGCGGGCGGGCGTCTCCGTGGGCGGGCCGGGCGCCGCCTGACGATTCCCGGAGGCCTCCGTCCGCCTGGCGGGCGAGCGTCGGGGCGGGCGATGGAGCAGCTCCTGCCGACGACGGGCTAAAGGCGGGCAGGCAGGCAGGCGGCGGCGGAACGGCTTCGGAGAGGATTCGCTGGCGGCCGGAGCTGGTGGCGCTTTCTCGGCCGGGGAAGACGGAGTGGCTCGCCGGGGTCCCGCTTCCAGGAACGGATCTCCCGGCCGCATTTTCCGGCGAAGCTGTCCCCGGAGCTCCCTTCGGAAAGGAGGGGAGTGGCGGCCGGGCGTTTCTAGGACCCGGTAACCGCGGTGGCGGGGCTGCCTGTCAGGCCTGGTTTTGGGGGGGCGCTTCTAAAGGGCGAGCGAGGGGGGGGGGGGGGGGGGGTTGCCTTTCCTCCGGTGTCGGACGCGACCGAGAACTCCCGAAGGGCCTAGAAACGCTGCGGAGGCTCCTGGACCAGCCTGGCCTTTCCCGCTCCAGCGCCGCTTGCCTTAAAAGCCCCCCTTTTTCAGCAGGAGAGGAAGAAAACGGGGCTGCTTTTCCTGCTGCATCATAGCGTGTGCAGGTATCCGCTTTCCCCGCTTTGAAACGGGCAGCCCGCTGGCGGAGCCTAAACCAAGGCGCCCCAAACCTGGGCCGCTGGAGAGGAATTCTGGGAGTTGAAGTCCACAAGCTTTGCTGGCTGAGGAATTCTGGGAGTTGAAGTCCACAAGTCTTCAAGCGGCCCAAGTTTGGGGCGCCTTGGTCTAAACTCTTGGGTTTTATTTCTATTTATTAACGTTTTTGGATAGCACGCAATTGTTCTGGAAAATAGCAAATTGCTATAAATGTTTGCTAATAAGGCTTACTACTGTTATGTAGCAGTTGAGCGCATTGACTTGATTCTGCAATAGACCCACCTCTTTACAGGGATAGAATAGAACAGAACAGAACAGAACAGAACAGAACAGAACAGAATAGAATTCTTTATTGGCCAAGTGTGATGGGACAAATGAGGAATTTGCCTGGGTGTAAATACTTTCAGTATACATCAAGAAAATATATGTTCGTCAAGAATCATCAGGTCCAACACTTAATGATAGTCATAGGGTACAATCAACAATCAAATCATACTAGGAAACAGTCACTATAAATTAGTTAGGATACAAGCGACAAAGTTACAGTCCTACAATCACTAGTGGGAGGGGATGGGCAATGATGAGAGGATTAATAGTAATAGTAGTGCAGACTTTGTAAATAGTTGGACAGTGTTGAGGGAATTATTTGTTTAGCAGAGTGATGGCTTTCGGGGGGAAAACTACAGATTTTTAGCGTAACTTCCAGCGATTTTGGTGTCCCAGCTTTCCTCTTCTCCAAACAGGATAGTGGGGCAGATCTGGCAACAGCTGGGACTGCTGGATTCTTTTCACAAGGATTATCAGTGTAATGAGTCTGCCAATATGAGAGCACAAAGTACTTCCAATAACTGCACATACAAAGGTAAACTACTCCTTCAAGTCATAGTCAATTGCCAGCATCTTCCCAGGGTTTTAAGAAGAGACTGGACAGCCACTTGTCCGAAATGGTCTGGGCTTGAGCAGAGGGTTGGACTAGAAAACCTTTTTTGTGACCTCAGTCCAAATTTTAATTAGATCTGACCCTACTGAGTATTTTGCAGTCAGGCAGCTGGACGTTTGTATGTAATTAGATTTAGGGGGGGAGCGGGATAGAGAATACGAACCATTTGAAAATCCCTAGGATTGTTTTGCATCTTTCAAAGATCGAATGAGTTCCCAAGGCTATGAAAGGCATTTCACATGGTTTCAAAAACTGGCGTGCTAGTAGAGTTGCTTCCACAGGCTACATGAAAAGTTGCCTGTCTCTGTTGCTCCTGTAAGACTTGCTAACCATCCCCAGTGGTTTCATACGAAAGTGACAAAACGTTTACATTCTCCCTCTACAGAGGTCCAAATGGGTCCTCCTAAGCTGCATTGCAAGAACATCATTAGTTCTGAAGAGAAAAAGGTGGACTCCAAATCTTGCTTTCCTCTTATAAAAGAAAGTGGGGTGTGGGTTTTTTTGTTTTTTTGTTTTGTAATCCAAATACAAGAGGGTAAACAGGGAGAGCATACTTCCCTTCTAAAGGAAACAACTTAAGAAATTTGATACGGTAGGAATTTCTGTTGTTTGCCAACCATCTGTTGTATTTGAACTTAAGGAAAAGCTAGTGGTTTAAGAAAAGATTTTAAAGATGGTAAGTGATGAATACAGGCAGTCTTCAGTTTATGACCAGAATTGAACCCAACATTTCTTTTGCTAAATGAGAGTTAAGTGAATTTGGTCCCTTTTTAGTTTCTTGCCACAGTTGTTGTGAATCACTGTAGCTGTTAAATCAGTAACATGGTTGTAATTGAATCTGGCTTCTCCATTGGCTTTGCTTGTCAGAAGATCACAAAAGGGGATCACGTGATCCCAGGATGCTGCAACCATCATAAATATGATCCAGTTGCCAAGGGTCTGAACTGTGATTACGTGGCCCATGGGGTCACTGCAACATTCGCAAGTGTGAAAAATGGGCATAAATCACTTTTTTCAGTGCTGTTGTGAATTCGAATCGTCATTAAATATACTCGTAAGTTGAGGGCTACCTGTATTTACAGTATGTGAATAACCATACAATTGATAGCAAGTCCCAAAATTATACTGGAATACACGCACACACAAATGTCTGCACTTTTTTATACATTAAAGACTTTGTTTATCTGCTTTCAGAGAACTTTCGATCTCGATATTTTTTACTTGAAGCTTTTCAGCAGAATATTGTAAAGCGGCAGAAGTATTTCTTGGAACTCAACAACACAGTATTTCTCATTTCTTACTGGAATGCACCTGACTCTTGAGTAGGGAGCCTGTTTTCCATTCGGTATTGCTTTATTCCCAGTGGCTCAGAGCTGTGTACACAGAAAACCTGGGCATTACAAAAATATGGCACTGATCAACAGGGATGGAGACATCAATCATAATATATCCTAAGTGCTTTCTCTCAAAACCAAGCTTTTATTTTATTATGGAAATTCCTCTGGGATGATGGAATATAGAATATTCTGTTCTATATTCTATTTGGGAGTAGGGAACTCTTCAGTCTAAATCTGAGGCTCCATTTTTGTGGGGTTCCCCAGCCTCTTCTGCTGTTGAATACACATGCACTTTACATGGCTTTCTAAGGCCTTCTTTGGTTTGCTTGGTCTGTCACTGAACGAAGCCTCTCCCCCTTAACCCCTGTATGAGCCAGTGCCGCCTTGTCTGTCCAGTGGTGATTCAACACATGACCAAAACAAGAAACACCAGGCGAGATCAGCATGATTGCAAAAGAGCGCTCTCACAAATGGAGGGACAGAAAAGACACATACAAAAATGCAGAGGGACACGTAACTAAAAGAGAATCAGAGTAAATAGCCTGAATCTGTAATGAGGGAATCAGGAAAATGAAGGGCCAGAATGAGCTAAGACGAGCAACTAAAGCAAAAAATAATTTTTAAAAAGTTTCAATATGTAAGAAACAGGAAGAAAGTCAAGGAAACAAGTCCACTAATAGGAATAGATGGAAGAGGATCGATAATAGGTAGCAGGGAGAAAGCAGAACTGCTTAATTCCTTCTTTGCGTCTTTTTTTTGCAAGAGGAAGAAACAGCCCAACTTATCAAAAGCAACATCATGAAAGTAGAAAGGCATACAAGTCAAAATAGACAAGAAATTAGTAAGAGAATACCTATCTACCCTGGACAAGTACAAATCACCTGGATCAGATCATTTATACCCCAGGGTTCTGAAGGAGCTGGCAGATGTAATTTCAGAGACAATGAATGTACTCTTTCAAAGCTCATGTAGCACAGAGGACTGGAAATGAGCTGATGTGGTTCTAATACACACATGGGGGGGGGGGGGGAATAGATCTAGGAAATTATAGGCCCACCGTTTTCCCATCAATACCTGGGAAAATCTGGAAAAGATAAGTGGCAGATTAGTAAGAACCTAGAAACGAACAAGATGATTGCTAGAAACCAGCATGGGTTTGTTAAAAAAAAAAAGATCATGCCAGACAAATCTTACTACCTTTGAGAAATGCTGTGGACATATGTGGAAGGCATTTGACAAAAGTAGGTAACGTATTTCTTAATAAGACAGACAATACCAGCACCAGATGGATTCCTAACTGGATGACCAAGCCACATTTAACGTGTAATCTTCAGTGGAATTACAACGGAGTATCCTTAGATTCTGTCCATACCCTTCAACGTTTTCATAAACGATCTAGATGAGGGGATGAAAGGGGAACTTATCAAATCTGAGAGACACCAAGCTGGGATGAAATCCAACCCTTTAGAAGATAGACTCAAGATCTGGAAGAACTTTGATACGACTTGAACACTGGGCCCCTATCTTACAAAATGAAATGCAATGGTGAAAAAAGGCCCTGCGTTCAGGTAGGAGAAACCAAATGCATGGCTGGTTGGTACCTGGCCCAACAGTACGAACTGGGAGAGATTTAGATGTCCTAGTGGCCCACCACTTAAGTACAAGCCAACAGTGTCCTGCAACTGTCAGAAAGCTAATGCGACTCTTGGCTACATTAACAGGAATAGCATCAAGATCACAGAAGTGATAAAGCGAGTACAGCTTTATACCACACTACTTATGCCACACTT